GGATTGGAGGCAAGAATTTTGTGTACATTGCAATCTGCACGTAGTTACATCAGAGGTGACAGTAGTTCTCAGCTCCCAGGTCCTCTTCACTGCCTACAAACATAAGAGTTTTGGTCTGTGTTGTTCCCAGATATTTCATATCTGACCCACAACTCCTAGCACTTCCTCTGGAGCTGTTAACTGCTATTAAATGGAATTTGAAGCGTTTGCTAATAACACTGAATCAAGCAATATGACAAGAAGTGGAGTGACATGGTGCCAGGGAACAGCTTGGCTCTGGTTTCATGGGTTGCTCCTACAACCTGTGAGTTGTTCTTCATGGATCTTGTCTTTCTGTCAGCACCTGACTGCCTTCTGCATGAGCATTTTAGCAGGAGGTGGTCAATAGACCTTACAGAAGCTTAGCAGTAGACTTTGCACTGGGCTTGGGCTGCCACACGTGGTGCTGGAGGTAACAAATCTCTTGTTTCTGCCCTTGTTTTCTCTGTTTCGTTTTTCTACCTTGCTCAGGCTTTTTTTACCCAGACAAATCAGAAGGAGCAGTGATGCAGTGGCACAGGCTGCCCAGGGAAGAGCTGGGGTTGCCTTCTCTGGAAGTGTTCAAGAACTGTGGGGATGTGACACTGAGGATGTGGTCAGTGGGCACAGTGGGGTGGATTGGGATTGGGTTTGGGGATCTGAGGGGTCTTTTCCAACCTCAGTGATTCTGTGATTTTATGATCCTACATACAGCAGCTGTGCTGGTGCTCCTGGTAACTGGAAGGCTTGCTAGTTCCAGGAGGAGATGCATGCATCAGGTCAGCCTAAAAGGCCTGAAAATGACATCAGTGTTATGAGAATGACATCCAGGTTATCTGATCTCAGAGAGGTGGGGAACAAATGTGCTAAAGAGTAATTGAAATAAAGTGATTTACCTTCTTTCTCCAGTCCTCTGCCCTGCATCACTCCTGGCATAGTGTTTAACCAGATAAGGCTTTTACTGTATGCTCTGTTTTCCAATCTTAGTTGTATATTTCTTGGAATCCTCTTCAATTTTGTCCTCAGTGATTGATTCCAACCACAGGTATGTTATTCCAGGCATGCTGGCGTGCATGTCTTGTGCAGTAATAATATGGTCTGTGCTCCAGATTGAAGGTTATCCCTGAGGTTTCCTGAGATGGTGCTTTGCAGAACCATCTGCCCCTGTTAATGCAGTTTCTTTGTTCCCAGGTGTGGGACTTCACCTGGTTAGGTCTGTGCTTTCACAGAATTGTAGGGGTTGGAAGGGACCTCCAGAGATCATCGAGTCCAACCCCCCTGCCAAAGCAGGTTCCCTACAGCAGGTCGCACAGGCAGGCATCCAGGCAGGTCTTGAACATCTCCAGAGAAGGAGACTCCACCACCTCCCTGTGCAGCTTTGTTCTTCGTCCCTCAGAAATGGAGGTGACACCCTTCGTTTCTGTGTAAATGGAGTTCCTGTGTGTTACTCTGCAAACCTGGGGGTGTTTTGCTGTTGGCCAAATGAGACTTGCTTTGGGAATTCTTCATGTTCAGCCTAGGAACTAACACTTGCAAACTTTCTCATCTTACAATAGAGGGAAGGGTACAGGGACTTCCTGCTGTTAACCAGACGTATGGATCACACTGGAAGGAGCATAGCCACCTGGATAAGGATATCTGCCCATCACATCGAATTATTGAGGACAGTCAGATCTTAAACCAGCAATAATGTGCTGTAGGGAAGTCTGACTGCACCGAAATGTGGGATTTTTCAAGGGTGATGAAACTTGTTGTTGTTAACTGCTATAGAAAAACAGGAGATGGGAAATTATCCAAGCTGTGGGCTGTTTGCTCCATCTCCAGCAAGAAGCAGAAATGGTCCAGAGAGCTTGATGGGGGCTGGGGTGGCATCCAGGCAAGGGGGAAATGAATAAAGCAAGCCTCTCAGCTGGAAAAGCACGCAGTCAAACAGGAAAAATGTGATAGGGGTTTGTACAGTCATTAATACTGTAGTGAACAGGCAAAGACACTCATAGCGTGGGATTAAAAGCAAACAAAGTACTGCTTTTGTGCTGAAAGCCTAATGAACTTGTGGCACTGTTGTCACAGGTGCTGTGGAAGTAGATCTGGCTGGAAGTGACTGGAATTTTATGTGCCAAACTCATGGGATCTGTCCTCCGTGAGTGCAGCACAGTGCTGAGGATGCGGCCTCTGGAGATGGGTGAAAATTTGGAGGCATGTCATACCCTGCTCCCTCCTTAAACCTTTCCAGAGCACTCTTGCTGCCACGTTACGGCATGGATGGAGCTTTACCTTCTCTCATCACACCAGTTCTTATGGTCCTCCATGATAAACCATTGGAACTCAGGTACCTTAGAATCACTGAATCGTTAAGGTTGGAAAAGAACTCCAAGGTCCTCAAGGCCCCCACCACCACCGTGCCCACTGACCCCGTCCTTCAGTGCCACTCCTCCGTGGTTCCTCACCACCCCCAGGGGCTGTGACTCCCCCACCTCCCTGGTGGCAGCTGTGCCAGTGCATTATTGCTGTTGGGAGGAGAATCTTTCTCTACTATCCAACCTTGAAGCTCGTATCAATCATCTGAGTTGACTGCGTTTCATACCAAGTCTTTGCTTATAAAGTTTATCATTAGTTATTGTTTTGGAAGGAGATTAAACTGAGGCAGTAGAAGAGATTTTCTGAGTTTACATGTGTATGTGTGTGACATCTCTTATTGAACTGAAGTTTGACAAGAAGAATACCAAAGTCTGGAAACCCCCAGAAGTGAATTTTGAATATTCAGGGGGTGGTTGTTTTATGTTTCTTATTCTAGAAATATCATGGGGAAATAGTTGTATTTTTACAGAACTGAAAAGGTGCTTTGTGTGCTCATTTCTCTTTCTTTAGGAAGCCAAGAATTCAGGGGAAGCTTCCTTCAATAGAAGAGATTTTATTCTGTGAAGGTCTTTCACCCCCACACCCAAGCCTGATTTCCATATTGTGTGCTGATTGCCTCCCCCAGAAGAGCTTCAATGCAGAAAGGCTGTTAAAATGGTGCACTGTTACTCATCCTGTGTACTGGGCTTGAATCTAGCTTGATTATGTCACTGCCAAAATTAAGCACTACTCTTTTAGCCTTAGCAAATGGGTATATTCACTGAGCTGAGGAAACAGATTTCACATCCACTGAGTCATTGGGAAAATTCTTATTGCAGAGCCTTTCTTTAGTGCTGGGGGTACAAGGAGAGGGCACAGCTGCACCTTTAATGGAAGCAAAGAATAAATTGGCTCATCAGCTGGGCACCTTTGAGAGTCCTGGGTTGTGTAATGTCCACAGAACGCATCTTCTGTGTTCACCCAATAATTCATTTAGGGGAGTTGCATCTCCAACCTGAAAGCCTGAAATCGGCGCTGCTAATTTGAGGCATCGTTCGTTTGTTGCTGTGTTTTGTGATGTACTTGTCAACAAACTGTGGCAGAAATTAGTCTTGGTTATAAAGAGAGGTTGAGTCTCTGTGTGAGGAATAAAGATTGTGATCTGCGTTTTGGAAGTGTGTTATTGGGAGACCCAGGCTTTGTTTTAGTAGCCATGGTCCCCAGATCTCACCATTGCAAGTCCTAGTCATGGCTTACAGTCATAGTTATAGGTCATTAAGGTTGGAAAATGACAACACACCCCACCATAAGTTAATGTAATTATATAGTATTGGACTTGGTGATCCTTTTGGGTCCCTCCAACTTGGGTTATTTTGTGATTAACCTGGGAATAAGTGTCTGCTGAAGCCTGGAAGCCCATTCTTCCAAGGAAGTCTTATCAGCATCTGATGTGCAGTCTTGTCATTATGGTCCTTAACTTAAAGTTTTTCTCAGCTTGGAGAAGAGAAGGCTGCAGGGAGACCTGATGGTGGCCTTCAGTGCTTGAAGGGAGCGGATGAACAGGAGGGGAACGGCTGTGTGTGAGGGTGGGTGGTGACAGGACAAGGGGAATGGCTTGAAAGTGAGCCAGGGGAGGTTTGGGTTGGATGTGAGGAGGAAGTTTTGGAGGCAGAGGGTGGTGAGGCAGTGGCACAGGTTGCCCAAGGAGGCTGTGGATGCCCCATCCATCCCTGCAGGCATTCAAGGCCAGGCTGGATGTGGCTGTGGGCAGCCTGGGCTGCTGGTTGGCGACCTGCACACAGCAGGGCTTGGAGCTGGATGAGCACTGTGCTCCTTTGCAACCCAGGCCATTCTATCATTCTATGGTTTTTACAGATCCTGCTTTTTTAGGACAGTTTGACTCTGAATGATATTTCTTCTAAAATTTGAGGGAGTTTGTGGGAAAGTTCCCAGCGAGTTCCCAAGTCTCCCAACAAGTACTAATTTGACTTTTAATAAGATGCTTCATTCTTAGATCCCATGCTAGATTGGTAGCATCCTGTGGCATAGCTGACACTTTACATTTCAAAGCTGTGGTGTCAAGGTGACTTCTGAGAAGGGCATTCCCTTTTTTTTTTTGACAATGATTCATGGGCTGAGTCATATTTTGGATGGCTTCCTGCTCTCCCAGTCACGTCAGCACCATATTGCTCCCATCAGGACTAGAGAAGAACCATTTCATGCAGTCAGACGGCTGCTGACTTTCGCAGGGCTTGATCTGTAGCTGTTGCAAATTGAGAGATGGTTCTGTGGTGGGATCTTTAAATATTTGCCCTGCTCCTTTTTACTTTTCCCTCGATGTTGGTGTGTGTAGTCTTAATTGCTATTGCTTGGTCTTCCTTGGTATTGCTTTGTGATGAAGTATTCTCATTCTGTCTCCATTAGTCTTCACGTTCATTCTTCTGATCTCCTCAATAGGAGCCATGATTAAAAAAGACATTTCCTCACTGACTTCAAAATCCATGATCTTGTAAGGGAATTTCACTTGCATATCATTCCAGTCCCAAATTGCTGTGTAACACTGGTATATTCTCCTCAATGTATGCCAATTGCAACAGAAGACTCATTATAATACCTCTTAACTATGGAGTTGTTTTTTCTTTCAGCCCTGGAAGAAAACGTGACTTCTCCCCAGTGCTCTGGAGCCAGTACTTTGAGTCTATGGAGGATGTCGTGGTGGAAAATGAAACTGGCAAGGATATATCCTTTTATTCAGATTAAGGCTCTTCTGTTCTCAGTGACTTTGGCAGCATTACGTGTCTGAGTTTATTGGGGTTCCTTTCAGCTTTTCAAGTATTTTTTCTCATCTCACCTTCTGTTTTTTTTCCCCCCTGTTTGTATGGATCAGCAATCAAAGCATTCCAAGACACATAGCAAGGCAGGTTCATGGGATTGATTCTTTTGCAGCAGTAATCAGTGATTTCAGTAAGTACTTCCAACTGCTCTGTAAGGCATTTTGCAGGCAAAGAACTCCTTAGTTCACATAGTTGAAACTGTATCAGGAGTTATGTTTATTGATTTGTATTAAGTTTTATTAAGACAGTTAACTGGAAATCATTAAACTGTACATTCAGATTCAGTATCAGCAGTACAATACATGAGTCTCAACTCTCAAACAAAGTTAATGCCTACAGATTTCCAAAGACCCTTCTGCAAGTAAACTTGTAGGTTCTGTTCCTGTACATCCATCCAAAGATACATGCGTCCCCAGGGAGAGTGGGTTGCTATTTGTTGCACCTCAATTTGATGTGCAGACAGGGAAACTTCTCTCCCTGGTCCACATAGATGTGGTGGTGCCAGCAAGGAGATGTCCAGCAATGTCAATCTAGTTTTTAGTTATTGCTCTCCAAGATCCATGCTCCTTTTCCAAATGTTTGTAGTACTTTTATACTTCTCTTTAAGCTGACTCCTTTTTGTAAGTCTTTCTGTTATGGACTAATCCAGCTGGTGGCTGTAATCCTCCTTGATGTGCTCAGTTTGAATCATACAATCCTTAAGAGTTGGAAGGGACCTGTGAAGGCCATCTAGCCTAACTCTCCTGCACTGCACAGGGACACCACAACTAGGTTGGGTTGCCCAGGGCCTGATCCAGCCTCACCTGCAAAGTCTCCAGGGATGGAGCATCCAGCACATCTCTGGGCAGCCTGTTCAGTGCTCACCACCCTCACTGTAACAGACTTTTTCCTTACATCCAACCTAAATCTCCTGTTGTGGAGCTTGAAGCCATTTCCCCTTGTTCTGCCAACAGACCCTGCTCAGGAGCCTGTCCCTTTCTTTCCTGTTGCTCCCCTTTAGACACTGACAGGCTGCTCTCAGCTCAACTTGCAGCCTTCCCTTCTGTTCTCCATCTGCACAGCCCCAGCTTTCAGCCTGTCCCCATAGGAGAGCTGTTCCATCCCTGGATCATTTTTGTGGCCCTCCTCTGGATGCTCTCCAACAGCTCCATGTCTCTCCAGCACTGAGGACTCCACATCTGGTTGCAGTGCTCCAGGTGAGGCCTCACAGCACAGAGCAGAGAGACAGGATCACTCCCTCACCTTGCTGGCTGTGCTGCTTTAGATGCAGCCCAGGATGCAGTTGGCCTTCTGGGCTGTGAGGGCACAGTGCTGGCTCATGTCCAGCTTCCATCCACTATACCCCAAGTCTTTTTTGACACGACTGTGCTCAATCCTTTCATCCCCCAGCTTGTATTGGTGCAAAGAGTTGCCTCAACCCAGATGCAAGACCTTGCACTTGGTTTTGCTGAACCTCATGAGGTTCACCTGGTCCCACTGCTTAGCTTGTGTAGGTACCTCTGGAAAGGAGGCAAAGGCCATGAGTTGGCTTTGGGTTTCCCATTCACAGGCTTCCTGCACCCACCAACAAGAGCTGTGTGCTAACTGGGAGCACCCTGAAAAATAGTGTGGGACACAGGGCTTCCCAGGGGTCCTGCAGCTGCCTGTACTTCTGACAGAAGGACAAGAGGTACTTCCAGGACTTCTTTTTGCAAAGTGAAGATTGTTCTATCTTTATTTAAGTAACACAAACCCTATAGTTTAAGTAGTTTTATAATTTCTAAGCATACACATCCTACTTTGGTCTATCCATTAAGAAAACCTAATTTCCAAACTATTCCAACCCCTATAACACGTCACTTCTCCTTTGCCAACAGCATGTGATGCTCTCAAATGTGAAACATTTTCTTCTTGTTGTTTTACTCACCCATTCGTTATTTCATGTTCTCATTAAGTCTGCTTGTCCAATTCCAGCTATGAATTCTTTGTGATGTGCACCATGTCTGCATTCCTTGTGAAGCATCACACACACCCCTGAGGCTTTATAAGTAGTTCGAAGGGTAATGGACCTGTTTGGATAGGTGGTGGACATGGGCACCTTCAGTTCAAGCACATCTGTTCTTTAGGATTTATTGTGTTACCCTGTGACCTTTAACAGAAGCTGCTGCTTCCTTCTGGCAGGTCATGGTAAGGTGGGTACTGTGAAGCTTCTTTATGGATGTATATGCCAGAGAGTAGCTGTGTTGCCCTAAAACATCTTGTGTTCTGGCTTGCCTGACTTTTCATCTTAAATGTAATGGAAAATACTCCACATTAAAATTACATGCTTCGTAGCTCCTATTAGTAAGGCTTGTTTTTCCTCTTTGTTGTTGCAGAAGGGGGAGAAAAGGTTTAAGCATGAGATGTGTAGGTTGCAGAGGAGGGGAAGTCCTGCACAACAGGAAAAGAGCTCTGAAATTTAAAACAAGCTCAGTTCTGTCCTGGTTATGCTGCAAAAACCCATTGCACAGAGGCAGAAAGGAGGCCTTGAGAATTCAAGCATAGAAACAAAACAACTGTGATTGCAGAATCTCAAATCTAACCATGAAGTGTCCTTAACTGTCCGTACACTTTTCGAATTTACAAAAGCGGATTGGAGGGACCTGTCTTGCTGCTGTTACATGGTGGAGGCCATTCTGCTCTTTCCTGGGCTGTATTTACTGTAAGTAAACTGATTTATAGAGATAGACACTTAGGCAAATGTAGTCCTGTAAGCATGGAGGGCTGCTAACCATTCAGTTGTGTTAAAAGGGGGGAAAATTAATGCAGAAAACAGTGTTATGATCTGCTATGCACCTGACTCAAGTCATCTAAGGATATATATTAGGCAATGTATGCAAAGGTGTATCATCTAGGCCACTAATTTCCAGCAGCATCCCAAACTTCCACATAACTTGCATGTTTTAATGAAGCGTTAAGGTAAATCTATCACAGTGTTCCCATGGGGTTTTTCTGGGATTTTTATTTTTGGAAGGCTGCTTTCCAATTTTCAACACTCGTATCTCATCACAACACTCTTACTTTGCATGGTTGAGATCCTGTTCAAGGAATCTCGTTTGCTGCTCTCTGAAACACGGACAGAGGTTGTAGCAACAGGAGCAAGCACATGAGCTGATGGAACCAAAGTGCCATCCCTAAACCTGTTCCTTTGTTTAGGAAAAAAAAAAATATGAGCAAAAAACAACAAAACCAGAGCCAGGGAAGAGAATTGAAAGGATTGCAGGTAAAGTAAAATCTCAAAGTATCTGTTATTTCTATTTGGGATGTCAGAATGATAGAATCACGGAGGTTGGAAAAGACCTAGGATCCTTGAGTCTGACCACAACCCATCCTGCTGAATCATGGCCACATCTCCATGGTTCTGGTGCAGTTCCAGGAACAGTGTGACTCCACCACCTCCCTGGGCAGCCTGTGCATCACCAGTCTTACAGAGAAGAACGTTTTCCTCATATCCAGTATCTCTTCTGTGCCTACTGTTACGTCAGGCATGTAACAAGGATGAGCTCTTTGCAAGAGTTAATACCAACTGCTCTTGAATTCCCAAGGTGGCTGCTACTACTGCATAATCCTTATGGTGTAACCCATGGGTAAACCACTGTGTGCTATGACAAGACATCCAAAAAATCATAGAATCATAGAATCACAAGGTTGGAAATGACCTGCAGGATCATCCAGTCCAACCCCCCTCCCATTCCTATCAGTACCACAAGGTACTAAAGCATCTCTTGTAGCTCCTCATCCAGGTGCCTCTTGAACACCACCAGGGATGGCGACTCCACCACCTCCCTGGGCAGCCATTCCAGTGCCTCACCACCCTTTGAGAGAAGAAGTTGCTCCTAATATCCAACCTAAACCTCCTCTGGTATAACTTCTGGCCGTTTCCTCGGGTCCTACTGTTTGCCTGGGAGAAGAGGCCAGACCCTTTTGCACCATAACCTCCCTTCAGGAAGTTGTAGAGTGCAGTGAGGTCTCCCCTGAGCCTCCTCTTCTCCAGACTGAACAATCCCAGCTCCCTCAGCCACTCCTCATAAGACTCAGTGCCTCTATAGAGACTCAATGCCTCTATAAATGCCTCCTAAGTGGGCTGCAATTTTGGTACAGAATGGCAGTTGGACACCTAGCTTAGTTCATCTATGTCTGCAGCTGTAGCTGAGCCAGAGACTGGTGCAGAAACTTCAGAAACTGCTGAAACTTTGTCTTCAACCTCTTTCTTACTAAATCCTGTCCTTATCAATGTAGATCATTGGTTGCCAAGATGGTCAAGTGATTGGTTTTGGTCACAGTTTCCAAGAGCCTTGGACAAGTTGGATTGAAGGCCATTGCCTTTAACCAGAGGCAGATGTATGAAGCCACATTTTGCTGATCATCTTCCTACAAGATGCCATCACCCTCTCTAGAATTCTTATTTTCAGTAGCAAACCATTTTCACACTTAAAACCTCAAGCTTGTTGGATTTAGGGGAGTGACTGCCATTATAACACTGTGCTTTTGGGGCTTTTGGTGTTACTGCTGGCTGATGAAGGTAACATAGGTTTCCCTAGGTGAGAAGCACAAATCTGACTGTGCTTTTGGGGAAGGAAGTGGGTGCAATAATTAGCTGTGCCTTTATGCAGCTGGTATTAAATTATTTCCTGTGGGTGTGTTGAAAATAATGTCTGTCCTAAGCAATTAAGCCAGGTATTAAACTTAAAGTACTACACAAACATATATTTTATTATATATCATTATATATATTTATAAAATTCACACCCAGAAGAACAACCAAACATGAAAATCTCAAGCTGGGAGGCTCTGAGTGCCCTAACCTATAAATAGAAGAATAGCCTGCAGAGCCAGAGTGCTGCTTTCTTCTTTTGCTTACTGGCCTGGCAAATTCCTGGCTGATCTGCTTGTGCTTCTCTTGCCCAAAATATTTCTGTTTGCATACAACTTAGGGTTGCTGGACAGCTTCCCATTCTGTCATGTCATGTTGGTGATCCTCTTTCCTCACTCTCTGATGACAATGGTTTGATCTTTAGCAGAAGGCATCTCATCTGCTGAGTTAAGTCATTGCTTAGGAGCATAAGCAGCTTGCAGATTGAGGCTTTGGGGTGAGTTTTGGGGTCTGAAATACGAACTTGTGGCTGTTTGAATTGCACTACTGCACTCATTTAGGAGTTGAAGAGCTGAACAACCAAACGGGAGGCCTGGTTGCCTTTCAGATCTGCCCCTTATGTGGGTGGTTGTATTAACAGTCCCTCAACAAATTCTCCCATTGCTCCAGGGCTGATATTTAAATAATCAATGATTCTTTAACACAAAATTCTTCCTTCCAACAAAGAAGGCTGTTTAATCACTGCGATGCCTGAAATAACTTATGCAAATGGAGCTGTCAGCAACAAATAGAGTCATCATTGCCTTGCTTTAAAAAGATTCCTCTCTTGTTCCCCTCCAACATCTTTGAACTGATCAATTTTGTACATTCCAACCTTACTGTGAAATTCCATTCTGTAAGATCCAAGTGAAGAAGTGCTGCAAGGCAGCTGCTTCATCTTCATGGCTGCTGTGTAGCTGGGGCTAATTTTGGAACACGTGTGGCTTGGGAAAGGGGAGCATTGATTGCTTCAGCATCTCAACTGCTACAGGACTTGAGTTTGCTTTCCTAGGAAACACAAGGTGTCTTAAAGCACAATAAAACACGTGTTCTTCTCAGAGATGATGTGAACAATGGTGGGAAGGATTCCATCCTTGAGCTCTGCTCAAATGAGGGCAGCTCATGTGGGCTGTTCTTTGTGGGAGCTGCAGGCTCAGCTGTTGGGAGCGGAGGTTCTGCCCCACCATGCCAGTCCTTGCTGCTGTTCCACTCTGTGCTTGATGATGCTGATCCTTTTGCAGGTGAGATGTGGCACTTTGCAAATCACGTTGTCTTTTTCCTTGCAGTCTGCAATCATCAGCAGGATTCAGTGCAGGATTGTGGCTTTAGATCTCCGAGGCCACGGTAAGTACAATAAATACAGGAGTTTAAATAACACACAAGCACATTGCTGACTTCCCTTTTAAAGGAGATGGTAATGAATCCTTCCCAAAACGACTGGGAAATTATCCTGAAGGCATCCTTGTTTTTTTCATTCAGTAGCAGGGATGGGTGAAGTGGTGTAACCCCATATATGAGCACCCTCAGCTCCCTGTGCCTTTGTGCAGGGTGATGGTGGGCTTCCTTCTTCCTGCATGTTGGCAGCAACCCCTCCTCTATATTTTCATAACCTAAAGGAGGTTTTTACCATTCAAAATAAAGTGTGTTGTTCAGTTGTAAGGTACACTGTTAATATGGAAACACTCCCATGACTGTTCCTGCCCCTAAGCCATAATGTGACAAAGTACCAAGAGTTTCTGGTTAATTCTGGGTTCTTTAATTGTTCATGATAACTGAAATGGAGTCTTTTCTAACTGTGCCAGAAAGCTTTGTACGTTTCTGCTCCACATCCTCAGAGCTCTGAAGGTTTTCAGCTTACAGGAACTTGTTTTGTTCTTTCAGGAGAAACAAAAGTTAGGAATCCTGAAGATTTGTCTGCGGAGACAATGTCAAAGTAAGGAAGCTTATGTGCTCCCCATCACTTCCACATACCTATTTTCTTTCCTTGATTAAACAGTAAATGTTGGAGGATACTCAACCTTCATTCAAGGGAACTGGAAGGTGGTTTCATTTCACATAATTCTGGTAGCTTTCGCTTCTTTTCCTTCTGTTTTGGGACAGCTTTAAAATTTCTTTAGAATTATGTATTTAATATTTAGAATTATACCTCTGCCAGCTGAGTTGTATTTCACAGTGCACTCATTCTTTAGGTCTCCCCTTAGTTGTAAAGCCACTTTACAGATCAGCAGCTTCACTGCAGGGAGCACTTTAAACCTGCAATGCTCAGTAACACTGGAGATATCCTAATAGAAGGGAAAAAGCCTTCCTCAGGCTTGACTGATGTAAGCATTTTAGCTTGAAGTCACCGGTTTGGTGGTGGTTCTCCTGCTTTTGAGCAGTCAGAGTGTATCTGCCTTGGGAGTTGTGGATGCCCCATCCCTGCAGGCATTCAAGGCCAGGCTGGATGTGGCTCTGGGCAGCCTGGGCTGCTGGTTGGTGACCTGCACACAGCAGGGCTTGGAGCTGGATGAGCACTGTGCTCCTTTGCAACCCAGGCCATGCTATCATCCTATGATTGAACTGGAGGCATCTCCCCAATGTGCTTCACATAATCAGGTTGCTTTTACAGACTGTCCTGACCTGCTTTGGGTTGCAAATCCCCTTCTTCACAAGCTGCAGAAAAGCAAGCAGTTCCTACTAAGCAAATCTTGTTATGTCTACATTGAGTACAAAGAGTGTCTTTCCTATGACTACAATTAAACCAGGAAGGACTTTGTAACCTTCCTATGAACAAATCTACTGGATTTGTTGTGGGGAGGCCATGTGTGAAATGCGTTCTGACTTCCATTGTATTCCTTCTTGCTGCTGCTTACAGCTTGTCAGATCCTGGTACATCACTGTCCTAAGGAGGTGCTGTACGAAATAACTGGGATTTTTTACATCTGCAGCAGCACTACGTGGAGGAAAACAAGTTGCCTTTTGTTTCTAAACTTCTCTGTCCTCTTAGAAGTGAGCTTAAAGTTTATTCCTTGTTAGCCTTTAAGTGGGAGCTTTACATTATGGTTTGAATCTTTTATTAAATGCTCTGGTTTTGTTCTCCTTGACAGAGCAGTCAGCCTTTCTTTTGACTTACAGTTTACTAGGTGCAAGCTTGCTCTTGTGTTCTTTGAAAGGAAAGCCCATTTTGGCACCTCTGAGGCTACCTTAAAGTACTGTGCTCCTCAATTAGCTTTGGTCTTTAGCCATGCTGCTATTTGGATTTTTTTGGTGAGTTGTGGCAGCCAGCATTCATATACAGCAGTAACAGCTTCAGCTTAAAGCAGGTGCCCTATGGAAGAGAAGGGGAAATCTCTGCTTGCCTTGTGCTATCTGTACTCCAGTGAGAGTCTGAACCTTTGCTTGTGTTCAGTGTTGTTTATCTTTGCCTCCATCCATGGAGCTTGGCTACTTTTCTCTATTTAACTGCAAAAGGTTTCTCCTTTTAAAGCTGTGAATTTTTTTAGCCTATGCTTCCACAGCAAAAGAATGCAAGGCTTTTCTCACCTTCCATTTAAAACTCCTACCAACTGTTGCCAATCTGAAAGATTCTCTTTGGAAATGAAAAAGAAAATAAATAAAGCCCTTTCTGTTTATAAAAAGGAAAAATAGCATGCTTGTTCAGGAAAGTATCAGCTTTAAATGATTGCCTATGTCGAGCTGCACAGTGATACTACAACAGACTTGTCCCAGTGGTGTGTGAGTTAGGTAAGAGAGGATTTGGAGCCAGGCAGCTGTCTTGGGTCTGTATTTTTTCCTTCAGAAATACATCAAGGTAGAGATGCTGACCATTCTTTCACCACCTTCTTTTGGCAGAGACGTTGGAAACGTGGTTGAAGCTTTGTATGGAGACCTTCCTCCCCCTATCATGCTGATTGGGCACAGCATGGGGGGTGCCATTGCAGTGCACACAGCAGTTGCAAACCTGGTGCCGAGTTTACTGGGTCTGTGCATGATAGATGTTGTGGAAGGTAAGGCTGTGTGTGCTTGGATGTGGTTCTTTCTTTCGAGCTCATCTTTTTATTCTTATCCCCTAAATTCCTGAACACACAAAGTTTAGCCATTTCTTCAATATGTGCCAGTTATATTCTCCTAGCAGCAGTTACCTGTGTGAAATAGTCCTTCTAGTGGGTCTCCTTTGGATTCTGCTGGGTGGGATCTGTGGTTGCTGTTGTTCTCAGAATTTGGCTGCAACACTTTCTTGTTCTCAAGGAGGGGGCTTTTTTATATATATACTGCATGGTTGATGAGTGGCTGCTGCTTTTTCTGATGTCCTACTTGTTAATTTTCTAATGTGGGAGTAGGTAGGAGGCTTAGGTGTGCTAAGTTGTATTTTCCTTAATTGCATTAAATCCAATCTGAACCCCAGCTTTCTCTGAAGGTGTTCCCTGGTAGCCAATTCTGTGTAGGCAAACATGGTAATAATTACATCAGATGTCATCACATTAAAACATTTCTTGCTAGGTACAGCCATGGATGCACTGAACAGCATGCAGAACTTCTTAAGGAGTCGTCCCAAAACATTCAAGTCACTTGAGAATGCAATTGAGTGGAGGTAATGTGTGGGTTTATGTAATCTACAAAATCACTTGGCTTTTTTAGCTTGAATCCTGAAGGAAGCAAACTTTGTCAGATTCTTCCTTTGGTTCTCCCATCCCCAGCTGTGCAGTGCTGGGGGAGTGGCTGATTCACCAGAGGGCTGTGCTGCCATCCACAGGGACCTGGACAGGCTGAGAGGTGGCTGAAAGGAACCTCCTGAGGTTTAGCAAGAAATGCAGAACCCTGCCTCTGGGGAGGAGGCTGAGCTGGGGGCACCCAGCTGGAAAGAGTGCAGGAAAGGTCCTGGTGGACAGCAGGTGGAGCATGAGCCCTGGTCACTAAGATGCTGCGTTAGGCCAAGTGTCAGCAGCAGTTCAGGAGAGGTGAACCTTCCCCTCTCTTCAGCCTTGGTGAGGCCACATCTGGGATGCTGATCTGGGTCTGGGCAACTCCAGTATGAGAGAGATTAGGACATACTGGAGAGAGTCCAGCAGAGAGCCACCAGGTGATCCCCAGAGGTCTCTTCCAGCCTCAACCATTCAGTGGTTCTGTCAGCAATTCCTTGGCTGATTTGATGGGACAAGAGAGCTTACAAAGATCATTAATTTCCTGGGAGTTGGCTTGGTGCTGGAGAAGGATCATCCAAGAGCTGCTCCAATTCCCCACCAGCATTTCTCCTATGTGTCTTTTAGATTCATAGTTACCTGAATCACCAGCCATCACTGTTAGCTGGCAGATGGTCTGTGACTCATTCTGAATGACTCCTGAGCACAGGTGGTTTGGGTAAAATCATCTGGTTTTGCTTCTGTTTCTAGGTCTGCTAGTCACCAGTCACTTAGTAATCTGCCTTTCTTCCTTTTTCCTCTAGTGTAAAAAGTGGACAAATAAGAAATCTGGAATCTGCTAGAGTTTCTATGGTCGGTCAAGTCAAACAGTAGGTTGTTTTGTGTGGTTTTAATTGGTTTTAATTTTAAGTTCTTAAAATCTGTTTTACAAATACCTTCACTGCAGAGCATAAATACTCCTGAACGTGGAAATTGCTTCTAGGAAAGAGATTTCTTTTCGTTTGATCACTGCTGATACCCACAGCTGAATTGTAGTTGTGGCACCTGGAGAAAACCTGCCCAGAATTTCAGTAGGGCAGAATCCACAAAGAGCTGCATTTAAAAGAAATTATAAACTAACCACTGCTGATTGTGTGCTCTTTGTTTTGCCTTCCTTTCTGCCCACATTGAGGCCATAAGGGCTTGTCTAATGTCTCTTCAGAAATGTTGGCCTAAATTGGGTTTGCCTTCTGGCATTTTAGAAATGGTTTAATTCTGCATTTCAGGAGTGGTCCCAGGTGAGTTTGGGGGGGCCAACATGATCTGCTTGTGCTGCTCTGATCCTTGGTGTATCTGAAACCTTTACAAAGGTCTCCACATACGTTGCTAAGAAGAGCTGTTGTTGCTTGTTTGATCATTCCTGCCTCTTTTAAGTACCTGTTTGCACTGGGATGCATATGCTGCTTTCATCTACAGCTGCTTTTAAACTTGGGGGGGGGAATTTTTCCTATCCCGTGTTTGAGAAGTAGCTGACTGCTTTTAGCTCAGCAACTTTCTGGTTTTGGAAAGGGAATCAGTTTTTGGTTTTGTTTTCACAGGTGTGAAGGAGCTGCAAGTCCTGAAGGTCCTAAAGCCATCGTGGAGGGCATTATTGAAGAAGAGGAGGAGGAGGATGAAGATGATGAAGGCGGAGTCTCTGTCAACAAAAGGAAGAAGGAAGATGACACTGAGGTAGGGAATTTCTTGCTGTGTTTCAGCACATGTTTGCATGGCACTTCCCTGGCCCATGGTTATCCAAAGGATTCTTGATATAAATGAGAGCAACTCTACTGGAAGCTTTATACTGGGACTTAAGTTTTTCTTCTTGGCCTCCTCTCATTGATTCCATCATGGGTTGTCACTCGGTGTTTGGTTTTTCTTTCCTCAGGTGCTCTGAATGCACATGACCTGAAATGGAGCTTTTGTGAATGAGGAGTGCTCTGTACTGAGCCTGTGTGGTGCTTTTGCTTATTTCAAAGACCTGTCAGCATTTGGGAGGTTGTACAATCAATTGCAGCCTAAGAATGTAAATTCCTCAAGGGAGATTCCCCATGTACAAGAAAGACAGAGGAGGGCAACAAGATGAGCAGAGGGCTGGAGCAGCTCTCCTGTGAGGAAAGGTTGAGGGAACTGGGCTTGTTGAGCTTGGAGAAGA